GTTACTGCGAACTAACGAGCCGATGTAAAAACTAATCAGTGATTTATTTATGCTTGGACTTGGCTGACACTATTATTACATGTTTTTTAAATCGAGTCTCTATTTATTTATACTATTGAATTTTTATAATTAAAAATTGAGTTGGATTTACAACTTTGCATTGGTATTTATCAACCTTTAGCGTGTTACTCATGGCTAAATATTGATAGATTTATGACTGTTGTTTACTGTAATTGGTGCTTAATCACCGAGGTTTGTTCAGTGGAATACCTATTTTATTTTAATACATAGGTGCATTCATTAAAACAGTCGTAACTGACTGACTCAACATCATAAAGGTAAGGTCATTAAAATTAACGTAAAATATTTGACAAGATATAGTTTGGCACGGAAATAACAGCTATGAATTACCACCTTTATGTCAATATGCATAAAGGTTATGTTTGTGTACTAAAGTCAGTGCAATTTGATGTAGTTTATGCATATGTTAGTGGTTTGTTAGCGGTCGTAAAGTTTACGTGGAATTCAAGGTTATGTAATGTAGTGGAACTGATTGGAGATGAGATTTAGCTTTAGTGTTGAAGCTACTAACTCTAAAAATAGATTGGAATTAAGTTTAAAGATCTGTGCCTGATGAATCTAACTAAGTAATTCGCTCTTTTTGCTGCAGCGTCTCTCTCGCTAAGGCCTACTGTCCTCGACGTGTCATTTGACGAATGCATGCAGCCTACAAATTACGATAGGCGTATTTGTATGCGGAGTGACGTAACGTTGTCGCTTCGTGGATACAATTTTGAATTTTTTCGACACAAGATGCAAGCATTCGTCTTGCAATCGTCAAATTGATGAAGGCGTGCGATTGACGTGCAACACATGATCTGAACATGTGAGAAAAACAACCTTCTTTAAATATTTGGGTTTGGGTATGTGATAGTGAAATAAATAAGATACATAGTTATAAAACTGCCTCGTTGGCCGAGTGGTCGCAAGTGCGACTGCCAGGCAAGGGGTCTCGGGTTCGATTCCCGGGTCGGGCAAAGTATTACTGGGTTTTTAAAAAATCTCAGTAATAGCACGGAGTCTGGAATTGTGCCCGGTATATGGCAATAGGTTCACCCCCTATTACATGGGACTCATAACATATGTAAATGGTGAAAAGTGGGTGTTGCATTGTACAGTGGCATAATGTGCACCTCTGCCTACCCCTTCAGCGATATAAGGTGTGATGTTATGTTATATGTATGTATAGTTATAAAAAGGAGTTTTAGTGGCTCTTAAATCAGAGAGCGAATGGACTAAGTGAGAGATCGGATAGGTAGAGTAAAAAGATGACAGAAGCATTTTGGAACAACGGTTTAGTAAGAAAAATGCTTATATTTTTAAGTTGTCTATTCTAACGCATTAAAGTCTAAATTAGCGTGTCATTAACGAACAACTAAGCTACCTACCATGAGAAGACAGTAATAAGCCTCGAGCCGCAGCGACGTGCTGTAACATAGTGTAAGTAACTACTTAGTAGTAATAAAAAAAAAAAAACTAATATTATTAAAATAAAAATATTAATTAAACTTAAAAATAAATTGTAACAATTAAGTGATGCGGACAACCGCATTATTTTATATATATGGAGTAACAGGTTCTTCGCCGCGCCCCGCCACCCGGCCGCGCGACGAGCCGGCGCGAGCGCAAGCGAGACGACATTCCGCTGCCAAACCTCTTGAGGCACGGACGCTGTCGCTTTGATAAATAGCATACTTACCGTCATTGCGAATTATAAAGCCATAAATAATTATAAAATATTTTGAGACTGGATTGCTTAGCCATACTACTAAACTAAATTAAGTACCTGTATGTGATTGTGATTCCCAAACTTGGGTAAGTTGTGCACAATTTTATATAAAGAATTTTAACGGCCATTACCTACCTTTTTTTTATATTCGTTGCGTTAATCTTAAGGTACGGGCCTGTCTAACTATCGTAGCTTATTAATTTCTATCCTTGTGTAATGTTTTGCTTTTCCTTCACTATGTTCTTATTATATGCTTGTAACCGCCTCTGCTAGCGACCATTACCTACAGTGTCGATTAAGAATCACGCCTGGAATTCTTCCCGCCTTGTAAGCCCTAATTTTCCAATGTAGTTCTTGCCATGCATACCTAGCGTTTCCCGTGCACCCCTTATACCGGCAGCTTACTGATGTGGCCCTTGTCACCAGGAATTACGTCACGGTTTCAATAACCGAACCGGACAACGAACCTGTCACAGCACCTGAGTGGAGTGGCGTCACAGCACCTGAGTGGAGTGGCCGAGCTGACGGAACTACGCCTGGAGGACGGGAGCTCGCCAGGGAAGTGTGGAGAACTAAGCAAGTGCTAAAGACCTAGGCAGACCCTTCAATTTTTTT